TATGACAATGGTTAACAATCTCACAACACATCAGCAATATCCTTACTCAACCTTGGGTTCTCTATCACCAACTTCCTTGTCCCCTTCTGCCTTCTGGCCCTTGTCACTGGACTCCTGTACCTCATTAGAAATTTTTTCTGTTTAACGTTTTCTCCCCTTTCCCAGTGTGGTTACTTATGTTTTTAATAAGAGAAAGTCTGTTAGTTATTTATACAGTTTGGTGACATCTCAGGGCAACAGTGACATTAATCCATTGTCCACTGTGGCTAGGAGAAAGTAGTGTTTGGAGTTACTTTGTCTTTGTTAAAACTTGGCCTGGTGATTATCATTTCCAGTATGGACAGGTTTGCGCTGATCTGTGTTCAGGCCCAGCCATGTGGACAGTAAGCTTTTCTGCCCTTAGGTTTTGCCGACATCCCAACCGGAAAGCCCAGCCCGTACGTGCTGCGGAGGACAACGATGACCGCCAGGACCAGCCCTCGCCTGGCCGCACAGAAGTCAGCACCATCCCCCCTCAGCCTCCACAAAGAAAATCTGGCTGAGACCTGCAAACCAACAGCTGGTGGCAGCAGATCACACAAGGTAGACGGCCGTGGCCGTTCACATCATGTTTGCTTCACTGCAGGGAATGGTGGTGTTATCTGAGAGAGGGCCGAACAAAGTGCCCTGACTCAGGAGCTCCCGGGCTGTCAAGTCTGACCTTCTTCTCAGTGTGTTTAAGTAAGTCTGCGATGCTGAGCTGAGAGCAAGCCCCAGGGTAAACATGACATTATCCTGCTACAGGCCCTCGTCCTTGACCATACATACCCCTTACAAAGAGCTTGCTGGAAGTCACGTCAGATCCGCGGAGCTCAAAGTGTTCGTCACGTTTCAAGCCTGACTGTTGACAGGTGGGAAGAGGTAGTTTTCCTTCTGGCCACGGACGTTGGTCCTTGCTGTTTGACACGTTTTACTCGCTCCCCTCTGCCCCTCGGCTGCCTGTTGTTTGCATTTTTATTAATCCTCTACTTTGTAGCAAAAGCACAGTGTCTGTGGATGTCTAAAGAAAGGACCTCTGTGTATGATTTCTCTGTTTTGACTGTGGAGGTTAGGGCTAGGATCCCAGCCACCTCTGTGTGATTTGAAGTATATAACATTTACTTAACCCGTTGCTGTCGAGTTGATTCCGACTCCTAGCGACCCTACAGGGCAGGGTGGACCTGCTCCATAGGGTTTCCAAGGCTGTCATTTTTACGGAAGCAAACTGCCACGTTTTGGGTTCGAACTGCCAATCTTTTCAGTTAGCAGCTGAGCACTAACCCACTGCACCACCAGGGCTCACAGATCTTTATTCCTATTACTGTATTCCATACCATCAGCTACCATTTATGGGCGCAAAGCATCTGCGTTTTCTTTAACTCTTATTTTCTCATCTCATTGAACTCTGTTCACTGTGAGCGGCGTCATAAAAGGATAAAGAAAGGGAAACTCAAACATTTAACTGGGCTTTGTGGACACCTGTTCTATCTCAGCCACAGTCTGGCTGTTTCTACCATACACCAGTGTTTCTCAAGCTGGAGCCACTGGGATATTGTTGGAAGTTGGTAGAAGAGCTTCAAGGATTTTAAACATTTTGTATTTTTATGTTGATTACTCACGTATTAGAGTTCAATTAAGTGCAACCTGATCATCCTGAACCAGCAACCGAGGCTCTGAAACTGTAGTAACCCCTGTTGATGTCGTGACCCCGTGTGAGAGAACAGGTGTACCCTTCATGAGGATTTTGGATATCAGAATAGAAAAACATTGATAATGAGTTGTGCCAAAACCACAGCAGACCTGCAGATTTATTTGCTGTCGGTGGTATGTAAGAGCTATCAGCGCTGAAGAATTTATAAGCCAGCTGTCCTCCAGTTGACTCTTTAACCGATGATGACCCCACGTGTGTCAGAGCAGAGCTGTGCTCCACAGGGTTCTCGGTGGCTGCTGCTGTGGAATGGATTGTCAGGCCTTTCTTCCCAGGCACCTCTGGGTGAACTTGAACCTCTGACCTTTCGGTTAGTAGCCGAGTGCATTAACCGTCTGCAGCACCCATGGATTGGAAGGAATTTATACCCCGTGTTAAGTTGGTTCATCATTTACACTATGATGTAGATTTTATTAATTCAGAGATGAGGAAAAGAGGTCTGTGGTTTTCTTTCATTCATTAAAATGGGCCCACGTGTTAGATGTATCGTATTAGAAATGTTCTACCATTTTGTACAAAGCCTCTCCGCTTCCTCCCCTCCCACCAAACACACACACATACACACACCCACCCACCCATACACACACACACACTCTCTCTCTCTCTCTCTCTCTCTCTTTCTCTCTCTCTCACCACTCACTCACTTACCTTTGGATTTAACTTTTGAGTCCTGGTGACAAAATTACACACTGGAGAAATAGGTATTTTCTTTTTATAGAGAAAAATCTACCCTGGAGTGTGCACTGGAGTAGGTCCTAAGTTTCTGATGGTCTTAGGAACAGCTTCTTCTCTTACTGTGACCACGGCCATAAGGCTGGACCCTGGCTGCAGGACAACCACTGAACTGCTCTCCAAGAGTCACACCGAGGTTCTGGTTTAAGCCCATTGCCCGCGTCGATTCCAACTCATAGCGGCCCGATAGGACAGGCTAGGACTGCCCGATTGGGTTTCCAAGGCTGTAAATCTTTCCCCAAACACTTGTAATCACCACGCCACCAGGGCTCCTTGGATTCTGATGTAGGCTGTGCCATTTCCTTAGATGGGTGACTTGTAGCCACTGCTTACCCCACAGTCGGCACTAACCCATTCCTGCCTGTGCACGGGTGTGAGGATTAAGTAAATGCCCGTCTGACTGTCTTAGGACATGCGGCCGTAACTAGTTGCCTGGACCTGCAGTATCTTAAGGCCGCTCATTTTATTGTAATTACTTGCTTAAATACCTGTCTTCTAATTTATAGTATGAGTTCTGTGAGGCTACTGGGTCTATGACTTCCCTGGGTCCTTAGCGTCTAGGACAGTGTCTGACCGTCACAACACTTGTTGAATGAATGAAGCTGTTGATGTCAGCCTGGAGTAATCCTGTCCTGATGTAACTGTGATGATAGATGCTTCAGAGTATGTTAGGGAATCATCCTCTGAAGTTGCCGCATGGGTGGCCCTTTTCCGTTATGAGAAATTGATGGCAGAAGCAGTTTGTGTGTGGCGTTTTGGACTTATTATCCAGAAAAGAGCTTTGCGCACTAGGGGGCCTGCTCCACACGCTGCTGTTGGATCTGTTGACTAGGGAACGGTAACCATGGTTTCCTGTAGGTCTGTGGTCTGTGCTTTAGCCACAGGCTGTCCAGTGGGCACCAGTAGGTATGAATTGCTACGCAATTGTGTGCACCCCTGCAAATGAAGGGGGGCTGCTTTGAAAGGATGTTTTAGGGGACTCCACAACTAGATTCAAACTCCTCCAAACCAGCCTAGTGAGTTTTAATTTCAGCATTTTCTGAGTCCTGTAAGATGCTTGCCTCACCTGTTAAATGTATTTCATCATTCAGTTTTAAAGATAAAGAGCAAGGTCTCATTTCCTTCAGCAGCTGCTTAGAGATTCAGGATTAGGGGCTCGTCCTGATGTGACTGGCTGGTTTTTAGAGAGACGATTCCCTAGGTCATTTAGCAGTACTTCTGGTGACATCCGACAAGTTTAAGGAGAAAAATGGGTAAAATGTAGGTCAGGTGAGGATTGCTGTCTCTGTTATATCTCTGGGGTGAGTAAGCCCAGGAGCCCATGGTGTGTTGGGGGCCCAGGGGGTTGGGGCTGAGTGCAGACTGCATCTCCTGAACGCGGGCCTGGGGGTCTGTGGCAGAGGACCCACAGCCGCATTGTACAGTCCTTTATGGGGGACGGGGGGTCATCAGTGCAGCATCCGTCAGCAGTTCAGCACGGCCTTTCATTTCTTTCTTCAAGTGAGGTTCAGTCTCTCTGCTGAAGTGCGCACGCTTGTCCCCTTCCACTGTGACTGCAGACATCGTTTGTAGGATGACTAGCGCGCGGATACACTCACTGCCTTCAGCGCTTAAATACTGGGTGACTCTCACCTCGTCTAGTTATGGGGGGCCATTGTGGTTCAGAGGTGGAATTCTCACCTTCCACAAGGGAGACCCGGATTCCATTCCCAGCCAAGGCACCTGTCAGTGGAGGCTCTTGTGTTGCTATGATGCTGAACAGGTTTCAGTGGAGCTTCCAGACCAAGACAGACTAGGAAGAAAGGCCTGGCAACCCTACTTCTAAAATCAGCCAATGAAAACACTGTGGATCACTGTGGTTCGATCTGCAGCCAATCGTGGGGATGGTGCCTGAGGTCACCATAAGCTGTGGGCGACTCAGTGGTAGCAGCTGGTAGACTGACTGACCAATGTGCAGATCCATCCACAGTCCAACGCCCATCACTACACTTTTCTCCATTTAGTATTGGAGGAGCAGAGTCTAGAGGCGGGAAGCGAAGGAATGGGTTTGGGCCATTTAACTGGAATTAGGAAAGAGTGTTACTGGCTCAAATTCTTTTCCTTGCGCAGTGTCCTCCTTCTTATGCTGATTTGACTTGTCTTCTCCTGCATCTGACAGGCTCAAGGAGAAGGCCTGTCTTTGATATCACTATATCTACTTAAACCAAAAAAAGAGGAGGTTCCAGGAAAAAAGTCTTTTTTTTTTTTTTCTTTCAACTTTACATGGACGGGGATTTTCTGTTAAGCTCTGCTCCTTCCAGGGCTGCTACTTCTAAGCTGCACATCATCTGATGCAGAGGCCGGCTTTCCGTGGTTCGATCTGTTGGCCAGACTGACTATGTTTTCTGTAATGAAAAGTATTTAACTGCCTCTTAAAACCACATACTTCCTATGGAAAGAATACAAATGGAAAAATAATTTCCATTCTTTTTTTTTGCCTTAGAAGGAGGCTGCTCAGGGAATGAACATCTGTCACATGGTTACGTCTCGGCGTCTGTACTGAGCACGAAGCGGCCCTTGTCAAGAGCCTTCTTTTTATTTCTTGTGAAGACCCTCTTCTTACCTGCCTCTCCCCCTCCTGCCTTCAACTCTGGTGCAGTGAAGCTTTTCTCCGTCCGTTCGCCTTGTTCCCCTCACTTCCTTAGGACCCCATCTCACTGCTTTGTAAACCTTGAAAATCTTGACTCGTCTAGCCACCCTGCCCTCTCATGTACTTCTTAACTTCTCACGTTTTCTGGAGAGCCTCTTTCTGTCAAACTGTGGGACGTCAGAGAGAGGATTCGCTTTTCCTGGACTTTATGGTTGGGTAGCTGCCTTTCTGCCATAATCCAAATCTAACAGGGAAACCAAACATATAAATACTGTTACCTGAGGAACAGATCCTGGGTCCTTCAAATGTTGCGACTAAAGCTTCTAGCCTGTGAAGGTAGCTGACTCATTTGTTTATTTTCATTCTGAATGACAGCAGGGGCTCAGTTAGGACCAATGGGGTAGGTTTGGGTTTTCACTAAGGGAAAATTTAGAACAGAGGCAGTTCACCAGAATTTATTGAATGTTCCTGAGGTATTCAAGCATATTCCACACAATAGGGCTACCTCAGTCTCTGGGTGGCACAAACAGTTAAACACTTGACTACTAGCTGAATGGTTGGCGATTTGAACCCATACCGTGGCGCCTTGGAAAACAGGCCTGGCGATCTGCTTCCGAAAGGTCGCGGCCTTGAACACCCTGTGGAGCAGTTCTACTCTGCACACGTGGGGTCGCCACGCGTCGGAATTGACTCAATAACAACTGACAACAGCAGCAACAACACGGGACACCTCGGGTAAGTAAGACGTGGTCTCTGTCCTCAAGGAGCTCACCTCCTGGTCGGAAAATGTCACCCTTGGCTTGGGAGAGTCTCCGGCCATCAGAGGTCGTAAGGGAAGGCTGTAGGATGACCTGTCGGAGATCATGCCTGCACCCTCCTGGCTTTTCTGTTAGGTGTGCGGCCTGTCCTCAGGGAAGAAGAAATACTAAAACTGTTTAACTTCTAGAGAAGAAGAATTTAGCTTAAAGCTCAGTGACATATGTTTCTTATTTTTCACATTGTAGAAGTGAGAATGTGATATAAACCTCTAACAGAAATGTTTGCGTTGCAGGTCAAGGTCGCTCAGCGGAGCCCAGCGGACTCGGGTGCTGCCGTCCGAGAACCCAGCCTGAGGTCTGTCTCCGGCAGTACCCTTCCTGAGAGACGCTCGGCTGACAGCCCCCGAGAGGGCCTGAGGGCCAAGCGAGGCCACCGTGTCCCCAGCCCAGGAGCCGGACCTGACCTCAAGAGCAGCGAGAACTGTAGGGTCCAGTAGAAGAGACCCTAGCTGTGTGGGAAAGGGCAGTGTGGATTGGAGAGGCGTGTCCCTGCTGGACTTTTCCTTAGTCAGGAGCACTTGTTCTGTGGGAAGACAACGACAACTCCTTAGAGGTCTAGACAGAGCGGACGCTCCCCGCCCCCCTGTGTAAACGTTGGACACGTTTGGAAGGACTGGCTGCCTGTTCCTCACTGACGTTCCTCTAACTTTTTGGGAAAATGTTACGGCTAAGTGACAAGTACCATACAACAGCTTCTGTTTGCAGATTTTACTCTAAAAAATGAAGAAACACATTTAATACTTTCAACTAACAGCTTCTAGGAGAAGGTGACCTTTGCTTTGTGATATTTCCTATGTCTAGCGTTAGGGATGAAGTAGTTTTCGATCAAGAATATCTTTGAGCTGAGTGAGATGAGAGAATCCCACGTTTTTAAGGAAAACGTGTAGATGTACATATGGGGGTGTATATGTGTGCATCCTTCTCTCCCAGTGTGTGTATACACCTTTGCCTAGATGAGCTGTGCATATTTGTGTGTTGGCGCCGTGGGGAGGTGCGCGTTTATTTCCAGTTAGCCTGGCTGCAGGCTCCTTAGGGGTGTAGGGTATCAAGTTTCCTGTCAATTGTGCTCTTGGTTTTTTTTCTTCTTTTAAAGACTACTTTGTTGCAGTTTTTTGGTATACATTTTCCTATCTAGTGGTTTTGTATTAAAATATGGCTTTTCTTTTCTTCTCTTTTAAAAAAAGAAAGTTACCTTTGTTTTTTGTAAAAAGGATTCCTAAATAAATACATTATGAATATTGGTGCTATTTCTTGCTAACATCAACAGTCTCTTATAAAAGCAAAAAATATTGGAGCAAGTGATAAGATCTTCGAACAAATGGTTCTGAGGTATTTAATGAACATATTTAATTATATTGAAAAGCATGATCTGGAAGGTGGGTCGAGAAGAATGTATGAAAACGTGCGTCGAGCCCATTGCCTGGTTTTTGCATGTACACATTTAGCTGCATCAGCCAGGATACGAGCACATGATATTTTCCAGCTCATTCATTGATGGTAGTTTGGAAAATATGCAGGCATTATGACCCATGTCAAATTCAAAAACAGTCGAACAAGCTCTTGTGTCCTTGAAGCTGGTTAAGAAAATCTTCCAGAATATGAGCTGGTGAGAGATCGACATAATGTGCTCTTGGCTTTTAGTTGGGATTGATGCATGAATCTTGACAAAGGCTACTGTTTATGCTTTAAAAAATTGTTCTTTGCAAGGTGGCTTCTGTTGTTGAGAGATGCTTCAGTAATATTAAGCTACTTAGTATTTATCTTCGGAACGGGATATCCTGACTTCTCTCCTGTCGCTTCAGTTGCTTGGGGTTGTGGCCTGGTTCAATCTCCTTCTCATAAATCACCGCAGGGCTGGCTTGTGCTCAAGGGCATGGCTGGAGCCCACAGAGCTGGGATTAGGCCATCAGCTAGTCGTTGGAAGATTCCACTCGGTGGGCCTTGCTCTTCCGTCCTCGGGTCCCTTCCTTGGTGTGTTGCCGCTGTTGCTTCTATCACAGCTAATGTTCCACATGCTTTCCATTTTCACAACCATAGAGAATTGACCACAGTCTTACAGATGGACAGCCAGGACATTAAATATTCCTTTTCTCAAGCTAACAATACCCATGATACTATGAGCTGAGCTGCATATGAGATGAAAAGGAAATAAGCTATACAGTCCCGACTCTCGAGTAATTTATTAGCCAGTTGAGTCACAAGTAAGATTCCAGCTGACGATTTTTTGGGGAAATGGACTAAGTCTAGAGGTCTGGGAATTGGATCCTTTCAAAGACTGGAAAACAATGAAGAGCCTTAGAGTACAGAAGTTTAGTATAATACAGACATTAAGAGTGAAAGCTGAGTGTCCAAATGCCTGGATTCCCCCGTGAAACCTTGGGCAAATTACTAAATTCTCATCAGTAAAATGGATACAATAATAATGATGCCTCTGGGAGTTATCACGATGATTAAATCAGTTTATTAACTACATAATTTGCTCTTGGCTTATTTGGGATTGATGTACAAATCTTGACAAATACCATCATTTATATTTTAAACTGTCCTTTGCAAGGTGGCCTCTGTTGGTGAAAAATGCTTCAATAATATTAAGCTACTTAGTGTTTGTCTTCTGAAAGTGATATCAATACAGATAATTAGACATAATTGAAAAAAAAATTGCAGCTTAAAATTCTTAAATTTGTTCATCCAACACAATACATTAACTTCAGATTAAGTTCTACCCTACAAAATTCTCACCAACCTCAATACCACTAAAGCTTACTTTTCAAATGAGGTTAGTCGCTGACATTTATACATATTCAATTACTGATCTTGCAAATGAAGCATCCACTGGTTTTTGGCTTTTCGTTTGGCTCATTAAATATACCCAGAGAAAACAACTGCTGGCCATTTTATTAACAAGTACGTTGTGCTCCTGAAGTTCAAGCATCAATGGGTTGGTTGGAACTCAGAATACATTTTGTTACAGAAACAACATTGCAAACTGCCTGAGTTCAAGCTCAGAGTTTAGCTCATGATGTATTAAAATTGCAATTAGGTTTGTTTTCAGCTGTACAGAAACCCTATTCATAGCATTATGTTTCTGGAAAAATATATTTTAGGAATGAGGTTACCAGAAACTCATTTTTCTACCCTCAACTGTTTCTTCAGTGTATCCCACTCCTTCCCATTTTTTTGGTGTCAGGAGAGAGAAACTGGACTGTAGATTCCTGCCTGCCACATGGCCACATGGCCACACAGCTACTCCCGGTATGAAAGGGAAACCCATTACTGTTGAGTTGATTCCGACTCATAGTGGCCCTATAGGACAGAGTAGAACTCTCCCATAGGGTTTCCAAGGAGCTGCTGGTGGATTGGAACATCTGACCTTTTGGTTAGCAGCCGTAGGTCGCTGTGGCTCTTAACCACTGCGCCACCAGGGCTCCCTGAAAGAGAAAGTGTTGGCTTCTATGTTTGGTGCTGCTGGCAAGGTCAGTTCTGCTAAGTTTCGTGTATTTTCGTGTGTAAATCTAAGTGGTTTGTTCAGTTGATGTTTTAGAAAATCACAAGGAAACAACACCTATCCCCAAGCTTCATACATTTTTGGGGACTTGCAGGTTAAAGTTCCAGCCCACAAAATTCCCACCAGCCTCCATCCTCTCATTGCAAAGAACATCGCAGGTGGATACATTTGTTACTCCTTTCTCCTCGAGGACTCCTGGAGGATGACAAGAGCATAATATTTATCTGTATAAAATACCATCTTTTCCAAGCTAAATCCTGCAGTTTCAAGTAATTTATCTCATTTAATATTTAATAGTCTTTGAAGTGGGTCCCATGTTCCTACGCGAGAGACCGCAAGAGATAATATTAAGTTAGTGGCAGAACAAAACTGAGGATCTCTAGCCCGAGGGTCTTCATATATTACCAAGCACCCCCATAAAGAGTAAAGGGATTCGGTCGGCCAAGAAGTAAATAGTAGCCTGGCAGGTCCTTCTTTTTAGGACCCCGTTATGATCCCAGGGCTTAGGACAACTCCACATCTAAGGAAAACGTGCTTCATTTAACCTTTAGATGGAGTTCTGATATGGTTCAAAAGGTTAATGCACCCGACTGCTAAGTGAACGGTTGGAAGTTCGAGTTCACCCAGAGGTGCCTTGGAAGAAAGGTTGATGATTTCCTTCCGAAAAATCCGCCTCTGAAAACCGATGTGGTTCTACTCTGGCACATATGGGGTCGCCATGAGTCGAAGTCAACTCGAGGCAACTAATTTGTTTTTTGTTTTTGTAACCTTTAGATGCAGCAGGGGACTTGGCATCCAGGTTCCTAGCAAAAGTTCCACGGTTGTAGGGGATTTCACTTCTGCTTAGTTTTTCTCCAACACGGTGTGCGAGGGGGTGGAGAAATGGGCGCCTTTCCACAGTTACAGACTTCTAGCCAAACACGGGGATTTTCCTGAGTTTTAAATGGAAATAGACCCACGTGATGTTGAAATCGCAGCTGTGTTATCTAACAGCACATGCTGGCCGTGTGCCTGCTCCCTCCTGCTAGACCTTGACTCCTTGGCACGTCCCCATGAGGGTGGCGTTTGTCCTGCATACCGTCTCTTTTTTGTTTTAATGGTCAACGTCTTGTGCTCAGGCCAGCGAAGGGCCTTGATGGTGCCCGGTGATGGCCCACGGCCCTCTCAGTCAGTACTATCTATGCAGAGCGCACACGAGCACACAGCGACGCGGGGGTCACTTTCGTTGGGGTGATGTGGGGAAGGGAAGAAGTGCCACCACTCTGGTGTGTAAATAGGTTACAGTGGACGTGGAAATCGATCATTTTCCTTCTGAAACAGCCAAGACTTGGGGGCAGACAGGTAAGCTACGTCTTGGCTCTGCCTGATCAGTTTTTTCAAGAAGTTGGGTATTCAGCCTCTGAGACAATCAGGGGCTTGCTCCATGTGGAGTATCAGATGTTCATGGACTTGCATATAACATATTTTAATGGCAGGAATTAATTCCTAGAATTGAAAAAAAAGAAAAAAAGCTCTTATTGAAAAGATTTACTGCAAATTTCACCTAACAATCTGTTGTTAGGAAGATCAGAAGCCCAATTAGCATCCCAAATCTTATCCCAACATGTGTAACAATTAGATTTCCCCCCCTCTGGAGATAATTGTAAACCCATTTAAGAAGAGAATATGTTGGTTTGGAAGGGTCTCACACCGATTTCCCAAATGTGGCATAGATTGTAGTCAAGAAGAATTATTCTTTAAACCAAGTTCAGCCAATTTTTTATCATTCCCAGACAGAAAATCTTTGTTGCTATGGCTGAGATGGTTGATTGCCTACCCCACTGCTACTTCTGCCTTTTTTCTTGCCAATAGAACCTACTTTTGTTCAGATATTGGATGGCAATTGGCTCGGAGAATATGAGCCCAAAACCAGGGAAGAAATGATAACTAGTACAAGCCAACTGCGATCATCCCATTCTCCTTTGTCACTGATTGTCGAAGAAGGATTATCCTGCGGTAACCCTTCTGAGACCAGCAGTGAGGCATTTCCAAAACACAGAGGATGCCAGGTCAGCAAGATGGGAAGAAACTGGGCCCTTGATGACAGAATTAAGCCTCTGAACCCACCTTGGACTTTTTTGTCATGTTGGAACATAAACCATTCTTTTTTAAAGCAACTTCCAGTAGGAAATTCTGTCACTTCATCTAAAAGCTTCTTGATGTGCTTGCAAAGCCTATTTTCAGATTTTTTTGTGAGTCAGCACCCTACTCTGTTTACCTTTTGAGTTCTGCCCTGCTACTGAGCAAGAGAGCCTTTTGAAATATAGTTGTTTAACTGTCTTCCTTTCTCCTGGTCTGCCCTGAAAAGCAATTCTGTTTGGATTGGTACAGGGCACTGATCTGAAACCCAGGGGTGGTCTCTGAAAGGGACTGAGTTACATAGGGGAGCAAATGATCCAAATCCTTAAAGTGACTTCATTATTCTGTCTGTCATGATTTCCCTACAATTCATATAATTTAAGTTATAGTTACCAAATGCCCAGAGTCAAATGACTTTTGGAGTGTCCACACATTTCTATCATTATGATGTGGTTTAAGTATCTAGGTCTTTTATCACTCCGAAGATAAATTGAGATCCTGAAAGAGAAATGGCTTTCTTTGCATCTCATTCTATGTCTGAAAACCTAGATTTCCAGCCACCAAGGATAGCGCTTCTTA